TTTTTACATTTATTTAAAATTCTTTAAAATTAAAAAAAAATTTTTAAAAACGTGTGATCCTTTGAAACGGCTTAACAATTTTTTTTTTTTTTTTTTTTTAGGAAATACATGCAATAGGCCAAATTAACAAAGCTAAAAGACCACAATAAAGATCCTTATTCTCAAGTTCTAGGTTTTTTTTTTTAACTGAGTCCAATTAGTATTAAACATTACAGTTATGTGGCTGGAAATAAACACCCTTATCCTTGCAAAAAAAAGCTTTTGTAAACTGAGCCAATTGAGTAGATATGATTTTTGCTCAAAGCATTTTTTTTTTTGGACACTACATAATAGAAACCACATTGGAAGTAATTTTAGTAGTATTTGTGTTATGTTGATTATTTGTCAGAGTTTGATGATATTGCAGGCCCTTTAATTGACTGTGAAAGTTGGAGCTACTATAAAGGTGTATTTTTCACACTGGTCTGCGTTCATATACCTTATGAGGTGTAGGAGGATTAAAAAAAATCAGGAAGAGCATTGGTTGTTTTTGTTAAACTTAATTCAGGCCACTGTAAAACTTACTTTTACATTAAATCAACCCTTTCAAAATCTGCCACCATATGAAACAGTGATGTTGGATTTCAGTCCTATAGGGCCACTATGTTCACATGCTTTTAAGATTCCTCTAAATAACAGACAACAGTGATTGTCATAAGGTGTAATTTACTAAAACAACTATCTCTCCCCCAAACTCTTGGCCTAAGTGTGGCCCTCGAGCACTTGAGTTGAATGCACTTGACGAGATTGTTTAGCGACGCTAGTTTTATTTTTTCAATATTTGTTTGCATATTTTGTGAATAATTAAACTTCATTATCTTTTATTTTTGCGAATCTAGATACTGGTAAACATTGGAAGCAATTTTGATTCAGAACGAAGCACGTTCATATCACCAAGAAAAGGGATTTACAGCTTCAATTTCCATGTGGTAAAAGTGTACAATCGTCAAACAATCCAGGTCAGGATGGTATTTTCTGTGTATTACTCTGTCCATCCATCTTGATTTACACTTGCAGCCATAGATGTGTCACTGTTTCACCCCACCATTATTAGACAGGCTGTGTCAGTTTCTACTTCACTAAGAAGAGAAAACATTCATTATGTAAAATGTTCTTTAACTGAAAACTAGTTCTATCAATTTCTGTAAAATGTTTGTATGCACTCTTTTCTCTGTAGCTCCATTTGATTAAGAAGCCAATGTATACATATTTAGGACTTTTAAGTCCAGAGATAATATTGATGGTACTAGAAAGTCTGTGGTTTCTTAAATCTTGTTTAGCCACACTTATTTGACATGCTGTATATCATAATGATATAAAGATATGGCATGTTACTTTTACAGCTATCTAAAGCTTAAAGAAAATAATTCGCTGATGAGGTTTTTTTTTTCACGATAATTCATGTTCGTGATGCTCTTTTGCCTTCCAACAAAATGTTATTTGCAAACAGTTCTGTGAAAATGAGGTGCTAATGTTGTTGGTCATTTTTAGAAACTCCCTCTCTTGTGGGGACAGTTCAACGGATATTAATGATACCGCTTTTGATCTGTCATTTTCATACTCTCAGTAACAATCTGCATTTTGGTTTCTTGAGACAAGATATGCTAATGTGTCCTATTTATTCTCGGGGTGTGATAAATCATAAAGTGCCATTCCTGATGGCACAGGCATGTTTTGACAAGAAGTCTATCATTGAATGTTTAAATTTCCAAAATAACCGAGATATGGCACTGTGAAGGCCAAATGTATCATTCAAGTGCAACTGTTAACAAGCCATATGAACACACACAATTTAATACAACTAATTGACACATAATATAAGACAGGAGGGTTTTAGGCTTAGGACAAGTTACTGCTACTTGCTTTTACTGTTACTGATAATAAAAGATTGCAAGGTGCTTGCAAAGTCTCTAGAGTCATAATCTGATGTGCTGGCCATTTGATATTTGTGGCTAGAAAGCAAACATCTGCCTTTTCTGCTTAGTAGATTTTTTTTTGTAGTGATATTTAGAATGAGCAAGCGCTACATTATGAAGATGTGAGTAGATATTGCACTTTATATCCCATGTCATTAATTATTTAACCTCTTATAACACAACGGTACATAATATGTGCATTTGGTACTGGTGTGTAGTTACCTATGGCAACCAGTTGATCTCAGCTTTGCTTAGCTCAGACATATGCACTGATTGCTAATTGGTCCAGTAAAATCCCATGAGAGCTACATAAAATTTACATCACTCAGAAATACCCTCTATGAACTTACATTTAAAACATCAATTAGAATGAAATTATCTAAAAAAATATACAGTTAAATATAATAAAATCATGCTGATCACTTAAGTAAAGAATTAGGCTACCTCTGTAGATGTTAAAATGTTGCTCTAATGTAATTGTAGGAAAAAAAACCTAAAAACTAAAAAACAAATAACCCACTTAGTAAAGTGTGAATAGGTGTTACAGTACACACATTCATTATCTTTCTATGTTGAATCTGCAATAATCAGATATTTTCTATAACCTATATGCGATAATAATAATAAAAAAAACTATATATATATATGTGTATGTATATATATCTATATATATATAGATAGATATATATATATCTATATACATATCTATATATATATATCTATATATATAGATATATATCTATATATATACTGTTTTGTTTTTTAAAATATGTTTACTCACAATATGTGATTAGGAAAGCATGCACCTTTACTTTATACATAGCAGAAAAAATCTATTATGCAGGACACATCTGCTTTAAAATGGGGTTTGATATCTTTAAGCTTCTTTTGTAGTTATGCTTTTATATGTATATTCAATCACAAATAAATATTGCCCTCCAACCAAAGTTTCCAGCTTGAATTTAACCCTATTACCTCTTTATGAACTTTTCTATGTATATTGACATAATAACTTTAAGGTGAAAATTTTGCTTTTGAACTTCTCCTTCAGACAGGCTGAGCGTTTGACACATTTAAAAAAAAAATGTATGCCCTTTAGTAAATCCGCAGGATAAGTGGGCAACAATGAATTAACTAAAAATAAACAAGCTCCCTTTTGTACTTTGAAGACTATAAACTTTCCAGTTCTGAACATGTTACTGGCTTGCTTAGTAAACTAAGGACAGTGTATTAACCACTTGGTTTGCAAAGCATTCAGAAGCCTATTATAAAAATGTTTTTACTCTGTTTTTTCTTCAGGTGAGTCTAATGTTAAATGGATGGCCAGTGATATCTGCTTTTGCTGGTGACCAGGATGTGACAAGAGAAGCAGCCAGTAACGGAGTTCTTATTCAAATGGAAAAAGGAGACAGAGCTTATTTAAAACTAGACAAGGGAAACTTGATGGGAGGATGGAAGTTTTCCACATTTTCTGGATTTCTGGTATTCCCCCTTTAAATCTGACTTAATCTAAGAGCAGCAAGGAGAGAAGGTTTGTTGCTATTGCCCTCAAATAGCTTCAATTAGAGACTCAGAATGGACATTTTTCACTTTCAGATATTCAAGACCCCGTATATCTAATTGTGTGTTTACCTGCTTCGGAAACTATTATTGTAACAGACAAGGAACTAGTGGGATCAGCTGTCATTTCATTAAACGTCGCTTTAGGAGCAAATGTCTTCTGTCCACATCCTTAGGAGAATTACTATGTCAAAAAGGCGTACATGTTTATTTTAATTATTTTTGAGCACAGTCTATATGCCATCTGTAAATTTTGTTTTCTCGGCTTGACAGCCAGTAGAAAATACCATAGAGATATCATGAGTACTGGCTGCTAGTATCCCAGATAACACCAGAACTATCTTCAAAGGCACAGTTGATGTATTTCAGTATTTCTCTGTAATTTTGAGTGATTGTGGAAATAAAGACTGCTACACGTCCGATGCTTGTTCTGCTCTTTAAAATGTGGCCCAAATACAAGCGATAGAATTATATCCAGCTATCAGTATTATACTCCGTACTATAGGTGTGAATGCTGGAATGTTGTTATGCTTCAAGTCCTTAAGTCATAGGTTTTTTTTTTTCTTTGAAGTTTAAATTAAAAATGTGTAAGTGTAAACCTACAATTTCCCAGACATATGCCAAATAATTCTGTGAATACTTTGAAAGAGAATCAAATTATGTAAAATATTTTTTTTACTCAACAGAATTTTGGATTTATGTTATTTATTTATTTATTCATTCTGTTTTCAGTTTTTTTTTGCATTTTAACTTTTTTAATTTGTAAAATTTGCATGTTTAGTGTTCATTTTATCCCAGAATTACGAGCTTCAAATTGTACGTTAAAAGGAAAACAAAATATTTAAAGGTATTAGGTAAATAGATATATCAACTGTATATACAGTACAAATTATATAAAATACTATATTTTAAAGTACTTTTTCTTTATTCAGATGCTACCTGGTATGCAGCCGTCTGAAATGTCACTGTTTATAATTTCATACTCTTGTCATTTGTTTGCTAATTTATTTTTATTGTTATTAAAAAATGAAATGCTATAATTTTGCAGCTCTCAGAGATGACTACTTTTATGGGAGGAGATTCGATTGTACCTTAAATTATCAGTAAAATAAAAGTGTACGAAAACTGAATTTTCTAATTCTTGAAAACTGAATTATTGAAAGTTTTAAATTTGTCATGCAGTGTAAAATTAGTCAACTTAAAAGTGATGTTTACATTATAGGTAGAATCTGGTGAGCGTCTATTATCTCCCAGGCACTCCAGTGGCGAGATTGCCATGCCATAGTTTTTGACCACATTCCTGCTTATCCTTTAGGAACACCCCTAGGATAATTTCCACTTCTCCTTTTGCATATTTCATGATATAACATAAATCATAAATCCTGCAGGGCAACTGGGACCCCCTTGTGGCCAGGGTTGGCATGCAGTTTCTAAAATTCAAGCGCCAGATTCCCCCAGAGGTATAAGCAACTGTTAGGTGGTTTAAAAAAAATCAGATTCGGGTTGGCAAACCCTCTAAAAAATAGCATGAGCTATTTTGTTAAAATTGGAAAAAAAGAAATGTGCTGCCTATAGAAACCTGATAAATTCTACCTGCAATGTTTTTTGTGCAGTCTGGAGAAAGAAAGGATCGATCTGTGTAGCTAAGCAGCGTATACATTTTTCTCTTCTTCATTCTTTATATATCTGTGTGAATGTGTCAAGTTCTATTATCTGTGTCATTCTGAGATCTTGATTTTTCAAGAAAATCTACAGAATGGGAGTGGGTACTGCAGAGTTAATATGCCATGGTTTTATTTCAAGCCTTTGGCTTCAAGAAGGAATTTAATTAGCTCCTATGGGGAAAATTAATACCAGCATAATAAGCAAAGTCTCCTTATTTATTCTCAGTTTTGTCTCCATAATAGTTTTGTTGAGCTGATGGGGACATTGCAAGATCTTCTAACACACCAGGTGACTCCATCATATCTACAACTTGATTGTTCCTGTAGAGGACATTATTAAAATGACAAGATCTAATTCCCACATTTGACTCACTTCTGAGAAGTGTACACAGGCAGAACTGCCGGTATGTACTCAGTGTCTTAAGTTGCTTTGGGCTACAAATTGAATATGTTGTATATTTATACTGAGTTAAGAGCATATAGTGTATAGGGAATGAACATAAACAGAAGTCTATTTTTTTACTGGTATTAATACTTTTACATTTAAAAAGAAAGAACATTCTGAAGCTTTCAACATTTATCATACATTTTGGGATAACCTGGCACTTTTGCATAATCTATAGCATTATATTTTCTTTGGTGAAACGGATAGACAACAAGGCATGTTCTGGCCAGATGTAGTTTGATCTTTTATTGACGTAAAACTATTTGAGCACACTCACATACAACATGTGCATCACAGTGAGTCTACAATTAAAGTCCTTTAACTTTATCACATTCATTTCTAAAAAGGCATACAAATATCCCAGATTCTGAAAAAAAAAATTAAAACTTTGGTGAACTTGCTTAATTTTTCAGAATACTAGGTTATAAGGTGGGTGCAAAGCTTGTCTGTCAATGTAGCAAACCAGTCACATGTCTGATTACCTCAGTGATAAATGCACTAGCACATGGTAGGGCAAGGAGATATCTCTGTTCACAATCTGGGAAGAATTTGGAACAAACGGATTTCAATGGAGTGCCAACTATTCAAAAGTTGACAGAAAATGTTACTTAGGAGGACCACTTTAACACACCAGAAAAGTTAAATAAGTGATTTAGGTGATTTTTTTACCCACCAGTTGTAATACATATAAGTATTTAAGTATATTTGTCTCCAAAATATGAGGCCACACTTGAGCATGACTCTGCTGATGGCTGCCTTACAAACAATTCTATGGCCTCTGGCTTGTGACTGACAAAAATTCACCAGCATATCGAACATTTTTTTCAACTATACCCAATGATTTGTGTGTCTTTTAGATATTTACTATTATATTATCCATAAGCTGATCAATTTGTGTAAGTGGTGTTCAAAACTTTGCTATAAAGGTTAAATGCTTTGTTCATCTATGGCCATGAATATTGCATTCTCTACATTTTTGTTATGCCTGCTCATACAAATTGAAATGCACAGTATATTGTTGGCCTGTTGTGTCATGCCTGTATTCATTCTAAAAGCATTAGGGTTAGGGTTATAGTTGTTTATAATATTTATCCACTTATGGATGGCTGTGTCTTCTATTGCTAGTATCTGTTTTCCTGTGAAAGACAAAACCTGAACAAAAGAGATCTGGCACAAAATGGGTAAATATTGAAGTGTTTTACTTCATTTTTTCTTTTTTTTGTGGACCTCCGGGTGCTCTCATATACACTGTCCCCCATGTGCTCTTCAGTTGATGAACAGCTCTTGTCTGAAGACAAAAAAGAAATCTGGCTGCTTTTCATCTGCTGATACACAGGACCTGCCAGCAAGTCTTCATTATAAACACATTCAGATACTTCTGTAGCAGCTGGTTGGGGGGCTTGAGCACAAACCAATTACAGTTTATGAAGAGGTTAATAATGGAAGGACAAGTTCTTCTTTAGAAAACACTCGTTTGTGTCTATTTTTGTTTGAGAACATTCACATAGTCTTGTGTGCAAAATGTTATATGGTGGATTATCTACATCAGGGAACAGGTATTTTGCATTAGTAATATATTTACTTTATTACCTTTGCTACTAAAATTTATTTTAGAAGTTGAGATAAAAAAAAATAGGATTATGTTAATTTAGAGCACTGGTCCTTTTTAACAGGGTGAAAAGGAAGAAAGGCTATGTTTCAAACAGGCAGATTCTAGAAATGGGTTCTAAATAAGGATAGTGATATTAAATATTTGCTTGTCTACTGTATGCATTGTTTGTGATTCCCTGTAGTTTTCAGTACTGCAAACACAGTCCTGAAAGAACCTGGTGTGTAAACCAAACTAATGAGGCTAATGCTCTAAAGGAGTTGATAATCTTCACAAAATGCATTACTGTATATAGCCATACAAAAAGCAAATTCCGGTTTATTTATTTCTCTTGCACATAATTGGATAATTGAAGTGAATATTTACTAGGGATGCACAGATACTTTTTGAGTACGAGTGCAGATACTTGGCATTTTCATGAGAACTACCGGGGTTGCAGCGGTTGCAGCTGGGACCTGGCTCTTGCACTCCACCACTGTCCTGAAATCATTAGTCTGTAAAGTTTTAGAAAAACTGTCACATGACAATAAACAAAAATGTATCAGTACTCGTACTTGTAAGTACTCGGCAAGTACCAGTACTCGTACTCGCAAAACTGGTATCTGTGCATCCCTTTATTTATATTTATAAAAACAAAATCATACATTAAAACAGAGATGTACAAATCCCAGGAGCTCCGTGTGCTCCTTACAAATGACAGCTACCTCCTATTTTTTTAATTTTTCTCTAGTGTAGTCTTGGAGCTCAAAAGTATCGGTACATGTACTCATACTTGTACCGAGTACTGTACTTGGTATCTGTGCAACCCTAATATTTACATAATTTAATGTATGACCACTACCAACTCCTTTAGTAAATCAGCCTTATATGGGGACTACTATATTAAGTATACCTTCTACTACCCATAAAAAGGTGTACCTGGAAAGTGACAGTACCATTGCTACTTACTCTATGCGCACTGTAGCTTTGCTTTCATTTTTCTTATTAGAGTCTTCTGCTGCTGCAGCCCATCCTCTTGGATTTTTAAAGTGTCATGCATTCAGGAATACCTTTCTACACAACACTGTTGTGAACAATGGCTATTTGTGAAGTTGTGGACTCCCTGTCAGCTTCAATAAGACTGCCGCTCATTGGATTTGTTTTTTGCACAATTCTCTGTAAAATCCAGAGGCTGCGGTAAGTAGAACACTTCACAAGTGAGCAGCTTCTAAGATGTGGCGGTCACCATATATGTCACCAATTATTCTTCACCTAGATTATTGCACAGTATTCTCATTCCACTGAAAATTAATTTCTTGATTTTTTTGACTAATTCTACATGCTTTTTATATCAAGATGCAGCCACATAGTTGTTCGCCTGGCAATGTAAATGTTGGTATATGGCAAACTTGTGTTCACTAAAAATACCCAATGATGAGTGAAGGACATTCATTTTGCTAGGATATGATTGGTTGATGTGAACACAGCTGTTTATTTGCCCAGTAAACATTGACTTTGCATAGTAAACAATCTCCTATAATAAATCTGTTGGTTATGTGTTTAGATGAAGCACTAAGACCTTGAGCAATGCTAAATTAGGTTTTACTTTCTTAGATGAACATTACATCAGAATACAGCACTGTACAGGAAACATATATATAGGAAAACGTATTGGGTATCATAGATAAGCATACGTGCCTACAGCATTTCCAAGAAAACAAAATACTTCCTGTGTATCATAGATAAGCATGCACATAGAGATTAATATTGCACTTCACTGCCAGCTACAGTTCAAAAGACAAATTACAAAAGTATATCAGTGTATTCCAGCACCCCTTCTCAACAGCATATGCATTGCTATATGACGTTTTCTCGAAGGAAACTGTGACGATCCTTTGACAATGGCTTGGTGAATGTATCCGCAGTCATTTCTTCTAATGAGCAATATTTTTTCAAGCTTGAACTTCCATAGCTAGTAGTTCCTATTGTTGAGCTTTGCGATTGCAAACTTCATATCTGAACAGCTTGCAATTTCTCAGTAGCTTGTTGACTTGCGGTATCCTGTTTGTGCCTGGGCCCATAACCTGTTGGTTATGTGTTTAGATGAAGCACTGAGATCTTGAGGAATGCTGAATTAGGGTTTACTTGCTTAGAAGAACATTACATGCATGCATACAGCCTTTTCAAGAAAATAAAATACTTTCTGTGTATCATAGATAAGCATAAACATAGAGACTTACATTGCACTACACTGCCATCTACAATCCAAAAGACAAATTACACAAGTATATCAGTGTATGCTGTTGCATTTCCCACAAAATCAACCCCACTTCTTTGCTAATAGAGTTAAAGTAAATGTCCAGCCAAAACCTTTTTGTTATTGTTTTGGATAAAGTGGGGGTTGATTAGAACAACT